TCGCTATTTAAACTTGCAACTATTAGCTCAGGAAAAGTTTGTCCCTCATCTCCTGCTTCTCTTTTACATTTTAAAAGAAAAACATCTCCATTGTGAATGATAACTGCAAAAGCAATACTAGCTGTACCTGCGCTATTAAAGTTTTGAATTCTGAAATGAATTAGACATTAAATAAACACTATCAATTGAAAATGCTTTTCAGAGACATCAGTACTCCATTTCAGCTTGTTTACAAGACTCTATTTATAGCCCTAACCCAGCCGTGGGCAAACTACAGACCGCAGGCTGGATCCGGCCCGTTTGAAATGAATAAAACTAAAAAAAAAAAAGACCTTACCCTTTAATGTCATGATGTTTACTTTGAATTTATATTAGTTCACACAAACACACCATCCATGCTTTTGTTCCGGCCCTCTGGTCCAGTTTAAGAACCCATTGTGGCCCTCGAGTCAAAAAGTTTGCCCACCCCTGCAACCGGTTTGGCTCAGTGGATAGAGCGTTAGCTTGTGACTCAAGGGTCCCAGGTTTGATCCAGGTCAAGGGCATGTACCTTGGTTGCGGGCATATCCCCACTAGGGAGTGTGCAGGAGGCAGCTGATCAATGTTTCTCTCTCATCGATGTTTCTAACTCTCTATCCCTCTCCCTTCCTCTCTGTAAAAAAGCAGTAAAAATCTATTTTTTTAAAAAGACTCTATTAATAGTCTTTTCTGCCCATTTAATTAAACGTGCTTTTCCTCAAATACCAGCACCCGCTATATAAGGAGCAATTTCTCATTCAATTTTGTTTCTAATTAACCTCTAATATTAAACTTAGATAAACTTCTATAGAATCCCATTACAGAAAGTAATACATTCCAATTATATTATAATTGAGTGGTCAGGTAGGTTATCTTTAGAATCTACTCTCCCTATACTCATAAATATTTTTATCAGTTGCACCCTGACTTCCACAGAATGCCCTAAAATGTATATATAAATCAAATAGAAATGTTAGCCCTTATTTTCTCAAGGAAAGGTAAGTGGGAACAAAGAGAGTTAAATAAACATCTCACACTCTTCATTAACACAGGCCGGGAAACACAGGTTTACACAGGTTGTGTAAACACAGTCTGGGAAAATGCAATTTGTCACAATGACTAATATGAACCAAGAGGGTAAGCTGTTGTCCACATCTGGTGTTATACAAATTAGGCAATTCTGAATAAGCTCTAAATGGCAATAAAGAAACTTGTCAATGTTGATATTACGATTAATTCAGTGGATTGGGTGTGTGACTATTACATCTTCTCCCATTAAGTAAGTAGAGAGAAGCACAGCTATTTGATAAGTATCATACAGAAACTTTGTAGCTTTTATTCCACAGATTTTAGTTGTTCTCAGTGATCTCTCTGATTATTTCCCAGAAATGTGACACAGGGGAAGGACAGTCTGGGAAAATGAAAGTGTCCAAACCTGATTGTGAATGAAATGCAACCACAAAAATTCTCTCCAGCCTTTCCCTCATTCATTCATTCTACACATATTAACTGAGCACCTTCTGTTCTAGATGCTGGGGCTACTTCAGTGAATGAAGTAGTCCAGGATACCCTATCAATCTACATTCATGTACAGGAGATAAGGCATAAATAATAAATATAATAAGTAAGTGAATTATATGGTATGTTATAGAATGACACATGCTTTGGAAATACAAAGAGAAGAAAAGGTTAAGGGGTTGGGGACAGCTGGGCAGAGTTGAGGGGCAGTACATAAAATTCTATCCCTCATGTGCAAATGGAAATATGTATACATGTATCGTGTATAAGCTAGGGTTACCTCTAAGATTCTTTAAAATATAAAGGTTAAATAAAGTATCAAGATTAAACGTATAACAAAAAGTTTCAGAAATTCTACCTCTTGTCCTGCAAAGTCTTAAAAAAGATTGATTAACTTAAGAAGTACCTAGTACTTACTATGTGGTCAGGCACTCAGTAAATTTCTAGTGAACCGATATTGTTTGAATTCTTAGAGCATTCCAGCAGTGAGTAGAAACTGATTCATTTGGTTTTAGAGTGATTTAAAATCTGTTGCTATAGTGATACCATACAAAAAGAAAATGTATATAATTTGTATTATCTTTTAAGGATAAATGCCAAAAATGTATTTATATATCAACATTTGTGCAGGAATTGTCTTTAATGCCATGTATAAGGATGGATGAACATTATGTAGCTCCAAAGGTATACATTGAGATCTGATTTTTGAAGTATGGGTGTATCACTTTTCAATACAGAGTCTATTATTATGAGAAATCCCAGACCTAATAGAATTGTGCCACAAGTTAAGACATTAAAAAAGAGTGACCACATGGGAAATGGCCTAGAATAATATAATTAAACTGGTGAAAGTAAAATTGCTTTGTCAGTATAATAACTGATAATATGATCCACAGATAGACAACACAAATTAAATAGAAATTCCCTAAGGCCATTATTGAATAGGGAATTTGTGTCTCTGTATGGTATACATGTGGTAATTAATTTTATATTTCAACTGAAAGTAGGAGGAAACCTTTTTTTGAAAGCAACTTGAAGACCCCATCTCTACCACCCATCCAAAAAGCTGATTTGACTGAGAGAAGGCAGAGGACATAGAAAATGCAATTTAGAGCACACCTAGGACAGAGTGACAAAGTTATAGCATTCCATTGATGCCATCAGAATCCACAAAACATGTATTTAAAAAGTAGCAATTTCCAAAGGAATGAGGCAATAGAGATTCAATTTCCACAGACTTTGCTGCGAGTAAATATGTTAGTAAACACTAAAATATTCCACTGGATATCCATCATGGATCAGATTAAATAATGGACAGATGCAAAGAACTAAACTGGAAGAGTTCATTTAGTTAAGGATCGTTGATCCTTTCCCAAACCCCATGAAGTGCATGGACGCATCTCCTTTCTATATTTACTTTTCTTCCAGAATACACTCCTGCTTTCTTTATACTTTGAATCGACAGCTAAGTTAGGAAGTCTACTGCCTTTGGCCAACTTCAAATGTTTTAGTGCTTTTACTTTTTTTGAGTGATCAAGCATTTTTGTGAGAGTCCCAGGATATTTTAAAGCTTTTTCTAAAAATAAGGTTGACTGTTAAGTGGCTGACGGAAGCACTCTTGCATCTAATTAGCAGATCAGGGTAAAAGTGAGAATATATGAGAATCATTCTGAAAACTCTCAGGTTACGTGAAAAACAAATGACTATCTTGGTGATTCGCTATGTATAACAATTTGAAATGTGAGCAAACACATGCTGCATTCTAAGAGAAACATATTTCTTAAGTGATCTTTAATTTTACATTTTAATGACTAATTATGATTGTATATGTTATCATCAGATCATCTCAGGATAAGAAGTGCATTTGCATTTTCCTGGTATGTAATTTACAGCACCTATGTTATTTGATATAGAGCAGGGGTCCTCAAACTACGGCCCGCGGGCCACATGCAAATACAAATATTGTATTTGTTCCCGTTTTGTTTTTTACTTCAAAATAAGATATGTGCAGTTTGCATAGGAATTTGTTCATAGTTTTTTTAAAACTATAGTCCGGCCCTCCAACGGTCTGAGGGACAGTGAACTGGCCCCCTGTTTAAAAAGTTTGAGGACCCCTGATATAGAGGATAAAACACTCAGTTATACTTAGAGATGTTTCTCAAAGTATGCCTATTATAAACACGAAACTCTTTTTTCTTTAATTGTTCTAAGTGTATGGAATAATCTAAAATTTAGCAATGCACACATATTAACCTGAAACATACTTATATATAGAGCTTCAACATCCTTGGGGTTTATATCACTATACTTTGATAAAACAGAAACTATGAGATAAGGTTAAAAAAGATGAATGAGGTTTTTGGAAATTTCTTTGTAAGAACATGTGTAAAAGTTTCCAATAACTGTGTCACTACGATACCTTGATGGTTTATAAATGTGAAATGGTCCAATTAGTTCATATTGTTTTCTGAACCATATAATAAAACTAGAGGAAGACCATTCCAATAGAATTTTTTTTCAGCCAGATTGGAAGGTACCTGCCATGTGCACCCCTCCTAACAATTTAACCCATCTTTCTTAGGCCAACTCCCTGAAGAAGGGAGGAGGATCATTGTCCAGTGTTTGCAAATATGTGACATCTATGTTTCAGGCTGACCCATGGTAAACTGATCTCATAACATTATAAAAAGACAGCTAGCTGTATTAAAATAAAAAAAATAATGGAGAAACATTGTTCAAGGGTGCCTATATTAACACTTGGAGCCAAAGAGTTCACTACATATACTGGTCAAAAATGGTCACTCTTCACTAAGTTTTGGTAACTCAATTATTATTACTGAATCTTAGTTTTTATTGTTTCCTTGTTTCCCTCCCTCCCTCCCTCCCTCCCTCTCTTTCTTCCTTTTGGTTTAGAAATCAAAAGTGGGCAGTTTCCTAAGAGGATGTACTTTTTTTTTTGGCCAACCTCAACTTAATAGAGCAGTAGATAGGATATGTTTGAGTTTTCACCAATTATGGCTTTCAATCTTTCTTCTCTGACACTTAATGACATTTTAGGCACATTGCAAATCTTGCCAGTTTGGTTATTAAAAGTCTGTCTAGTTTAAAACTTTATTTTCAAATTAAATTAAATTGAAACCTCTCTCCTTTCCTGTGCAGCTGTTGGGGCTGGTTGGGTCTATTCAACAGACTCTTAACCCCAGAGGAGGCTCTGGCAGCATTTGCCTACCTGTAAGCCGTCTTTGCCACCAAATTGATGGCTTCATTGCCAACTCCTGGACAACGAGACGAGTGCCACCGAATGTCCTGTTATATACAAATGACATACGTACAGTGTGGTGCCCCATAATGTTCCACTTAGAACCTAGTTCTGGAGACCTTCCTTTGCCTCCATTCTCATACATGTGCATTTTACCTCCACCCAAAGGCAGCAAATGTTTAACACGGGAGAAAAGTGGGATTACCATGGCTGTTACATCTGGACGTCTCCACGAGCCTGCCGTTCTGGTCGTAGCATGCCATTGCTTGGTAACGATAGCCTTGACCACATTCCTTGATGTCTCCTTGGACTTTCATCCCCAGCAGCACTTCCACTTTCCCCTCTGGCAAAATGCAGTCGGACCAGTTCCCCACGGGCTGTGCGTTATACTTGTCACAAGGACAATACTGAGTCTCGATCAGGGGGTACACCTGAGAATTTTTACAGTTTTCCTTCTTTTTGCTTTTTCCTGTGGAGAAATTTAAGTTGGAAAGTACCATTATTAATTTCAAGCATTCCCCTAAGTTTTCTCCTTTCCTAAACTTCCTTTCTCCATTTTAGACACATTCAACAGTAGTCTATAAATAAACGCTATTTTCTCACCTCACAGTGCTTTCTATCTAGGCTTTTGTTAGTACGGGGTGCTTTCCATAGTGATTATATATATATATATATATATATATATATATATATATATACACATTTTTTTTTCTTTTCATTTAAAAATAGTTAATTTGCCCAACTGGTGTGGTTCAATGGTTGAGTGTCCACCTATGATCCAGGAGGTCATGGTGTGATTTCTGGTCGGGGCACATGCCTGGATTGCTGGCTCGATCCCCATTGAGGGCCGTGCAGGAGGCAGCTGATCAATGATTCTCTCTCATCACTGATGTGTTTCTTTCTTTCTCTCTCTCTCTCTCTCTCTCTCTCTCTCTCTCTCTCTCCCCCCCCCCCCCCCCGCTCCTTCCCTCCCTCCCTCTCTGAAATCAATGAAAAGAAACAGCTGATGTAAAAATAGCCCTTATATAAGGTACTAACTGTTGTGGTGAATTTTATACTCCTTAAAATGATCAAAATCTTCGCAAATGATCATGTGTTTTCACTGATTGGGAGGCAGAGGTAACTGCAGTAATTTCTCCTGTATAATGTGCAAAAAGATGAAATGGGAGAGGGAGTCACTGCCCTGAACTTCACAGCTTTTTGTTAGTTCAAATAGATGGTATAGCCATCTAGGGAATTGAGGAATCGAGATTTTTGTATTTACTTTTATTTTGTTTTGTATTTACTTTTCTGATTATGATTTTGCCTCTTTCAGCATTTCTGAAGAGTAGTCATTTTGACATACTTGTGATTAACATAGGAAATATCAATAATATTCAAGGTGAAGATATTTAATATCAGGAAAAATACTAGAAATGGTTTATATATAAATGTAAATAAAGACCCTTTTAAAATAAATAACTCAAGTATAACAGTAATACATGCTTAAAATTATATATCATTATTTTAACTGGATAACATATTTATATTTATTATGTTATATAGTATAGACTAATTATATTACATATCATTAATGACATGTTTTACATATATTTATCTGTAACTTTCATAAGATAGCATACATAGTTCTCAACAGTCTTTATTTATGACAGGTGGCTTATTTTATAACTTTTAAAGTCTGAGTAGTCTACTAGCACCAATATTTTTAGGTTTCTTTTGCCAACTGACAGTCTTTTTGAACGCGCCAGGGTGTAGGCCAGTACAATGCCTCCTGTTCTTACTCATTATATCACTGCTTTTCGTCATTGCAACTGCCTTTCAAAATGCAGTTTTTTGACACAGAATTAACGTCACAGTCCCCTTCTAGGATATGAAAGATAATCCAAGGCTGTGACAGTGAGAATGGGCTAAGAAAATGAAGGAGCAACATTTCCTCGTGTCCCCAAAGACCTTTTCTCCAAGCCTTTCATGGTCTGTAGGCAATTCACCAAACGTCCGTATTTAAACAAAAAATAACCTTCCACATATTGCACAGGTGATGGAGTTTGATCTTCAAGGCTACTTTTTCTTTGTGCTAAAATTACAATGTGTCTGTCGCTGCCAGCTAACATTAAAACACACATCCAAATCCACTGGTGACGTATTAGGTATAAGTGTACCAACGATAAGGCCTATCTGTGCATTTTCCAAATACATTGTTGGTGCTCTCTTGGTCTGACTGTTTTGTGTTTTTCTACCTTGACAAGTATTGACGTAGGTGCTCCAGCTAATTATTCTTACCAACAATAGTGCGCTTTCTGGTCCTGACTGCCCCACAGTCTCCATTGCATGAGGAAAACTTGGACCAGCTGGTAAACTGACAGTCGTCTTGGCAGGGGACCTGGCAGGCCTGGGTGAGGGCTGGCACGGGGCCTGCGTGCTGGAGGCATTCGTGGATGCCAGCCTGCCCTCCGTCTTGCTTTCGACAAGTAATGGCTGGAGGAAAAGCAGAGAATTGTTTATAGCAAACTGGAATGTCTGTAATTACTCTGCAATTTAGGAATTAACATTTCCTTAAGCAGAGGAATCCTCTCTTCATCCTTTATTTGCAGCAAAAATCTAGTAGGAAGGTTTGTGATAATCATTAAATTGATGGTGTAGGTTTAAAAAAAAATCACAGATAACCCTCCCTGGTTTTTATTAGATGCTAGGAAGACTTTCAAGTCACATGTGAAGTATACTGAGAAATGAATTATTTAAGAGCAAATAAATAATATATGGGTTCTGATAATAGTTTATGTTGAACACAGGCTATTGACAGAAGGGCTGGGAGATATTGCCTATGCCCACCTCTAATAATTGCTTTTACCTCATTGGCCACTCTAGGATTCCTATACAGAAGGGGCTTAGGGGCAGCAAATTGGTTGGAGGGTTTGGGTGGAAAGGGGGGTGCTTATGGAATTTGTCCTAATGCTGCATTTGCATATTTTTGTTTTTGCCTTTTTACATTAGAAGTTTGTTGGGATGGCTTTGGAGTGGTTAATGGGAGGGGCAGTGTCAAATTCCATACCCCCTCCTCCCCACCAGTCTACAAGCTCATCACATGCATAAATATCAACCAAAAATTCAAAAATAAAATAAAGACTTTCAGCAACCTTCATCTATCATACCATAATGGCTATTTCCACAACTACATTTGGACCCTTAAAAATGGTATGACAAATTAATAATTTTAATTTGCATATATGATTTCCCCAAGATACTGTTTTACTGGTTTCTATAAACTGTGTCATAGTTTCATTACTTATTGAATGTAGATGTAAACCTGCTTGAAGGTAAACAAGTATAAAAAAAAGACCAACAATAAGTGATGTTTAAAATACCTTTACTTCCGCTGCCTTTTTCCTTGTTGGTTTTAAAATAACTCACTCACTTACTGAGGAGGCAGATGAAACATTTATATGTTGGTCCTAAAGTTAAGTCTTTATTGAACTAGCTTAACTGGCCTTAGTCCGGCTGATTTACATGGCCTCTCAGGTTTATGGGCTAGGCTGAAACGGCTGCTGATCTCTGCCTGCTCAGGATTCTGTCATTATGAAACTAAGGTGAAGGGACCTGACATTTTGACCCCAAATTACAGTGAGGGGGGCACAGAAGGCCTCAGGTTAGACAACACTCTCTGAGTCTGTCCACCTAAACGTAACACTCGGTAGTGTAGAGCTGTGTGATGGCATGTGGGTAAGGATCTAACAATTTAGCCAGGGAAGGCTTTATCTGTGTAGGTGGACACAAGTTATTGCAATTGCTACAGAAAAAGTTACATAATTGTGCAAATGTAGGTGAAACCTCACCTATTTCTTAGCTTATAAGTATCTCTTCATTAAGTATTTAGAACCCTGGGACGGCCAATTTTATGAAAAGAACAGGGGTCCCTAAATTTTAAAGATACAAAAATCTGATAGAGTAGACAGTAATTTATGAAGATTATACGACAGGAAACACCATTAATTGTCCCAAAGAGACACTTACCCTGTGGGAGAGGAACTGTCTGGTGATCTGTGTTTATCAGACCAACCTTAGGTAGTGGGTCTCAAATCAAGCTTCAGATTACAATCACCTGGATAGCTTTTGGGACGTGTCCACACCTTTACTGAACTCAAACATTCTGACTTAAGGGATGGAGGGCAGGGTACTGGGCATTAGCATCTTTTTAAAACTTCCTGGATGATTCAAATGTGTAACAGTGGATGGAGACCACTGCTCAAGTAGGTAATATATTTCCACTTGCATCAGAAACACCTGGGATGCTATTAAAGTTGGAGAATCTTGGATTCGTTCCAGAGCTCCCCCACTAGCATTCTGTGTGTGGGGTCAAAGAATGTGAATTTTTTTCTAGCTGCTCAGATTTCCTTATGCACACTCAAGATGAAGACCCACTGGGCTTGAGCGCTGAAGGCACAAGGAGGGATTTGGTTGAAACCTGTGGCTAAGATGAAAAGTCCTCTGGTGCCCAATCACCTTGGCACTGTGCCAAGTGGAGGGAACCAATGGCTGAGCATTCGGGAATGAGCTAAGGAAGCTCTAAACTTGGAGCTCCAAGGGGCCTGTACAAAGAGTGGACCAAAAAGAGCAGCCACATAGTCTGGGAGAATGTTATCTGTGGAATGGGGTAGGAGTCGTCCCCGTGATGTGGTATGCTAATGAGCTGATATGGTTTTTGCAGTTCTTGCTACACCTGTGGAAGCCGGGTTGACTCCTTAAACCAGGGGTGGGCAAACTTTTTGACTCGAGGGCCACAATGGGTTCTTAAACTGGACCGGAGGGCCGGAACAAAAGCATGGATGGAGTGTTTGTGTGAACTAATATAAATTCAAAGTAAACATCATTACATAAAAGGGTACGGTCTTTTTTTTTTTTAGTTTTATTCATTTCAAACGGGCCGGATCTGGCCCGCGGGCCGTAGTTTGCCCACGACTGCCTTAAACACTTCAAACTTAGCAAGCTTTGGTGGCTGTGGGCAGAGTTGCCCCCACGGAGGCAAGAGGAAGGATTGTCAGAGAGGAAGATATTAGACTTTATACTCCTGGGGATATGCAGGAACCCCAAGAATGACACATTTGGAAAATAAGAGCTTTGACCATATCAGAACTCTAAGCTTGGAAGCAGGTCACACTGTTTATAACTACAAGAAAATTACAAAACTAAATGCGGGTTCCTTGAAATAAGACTACTTTTACCTCTTCATCCAATTTGGCTCTCTGAAACGGAGGCCTGATTATAAATCTTCTGAGACGAAATGAAGTTGCCTCAGGTTCTCCATTAAGGTTCTCTCTCTAAGGTTCTTACTCACCAGCTGTATTTCAGAACTGTTTCGATTATCATCACATTAAGTAATATAAAAAACATAACAAAATCACTACCATAATTTCAGAAATAAATTAATTTTGTGTAGATCTCTATATGCTACTTACAAAAATCTAAAGTCCTTTTCTCTATACACCTGCAGTACATAAAATCTTTAATACTTTGACTAGTTGAAAAAAATATGTAAAATTCCCATCTCTGTTCTCAGAACCCACTCAGCACTCCACTCCCCTTATCAGAGATTTTAGACAATGTGCTTCGAATGAATTACTCATGCCATGCTATGCAAACAAGTAGCAACACCAGCATTTGTACAATATATTGAAAATTTATCACACATCTCAACTTGTTCCCATTCTGGTGTAGAGGAAATACAACAATTCAAATACAGGAATGCAATCTGAAATGAGCTTCCTGCTACTGGGGGCCAGGGAAATATAAATGGAAAGGAAATCATCGGATCTCTCAAGTTTAGAAATTTTAAAAATGATTTCTAAGACACTAAAGTCAGAATGTTTTTCACTGCAGAAAGGACTCATCATGCACAGCATGGTTTCCTGGCACACCAAAATGCTGCATGTGCTCAGACAACTGTATCTGTCTTTCCAGGTGGAGCGTTTATAGCTTGTGGATAGTGATTATGCTGCAAGCTCTGCTCTGGGCTGAGGTCTTTTTAGAAAGATGGGCCAAAAACCATGCTGTCCTACAAATAATTCACCATAAAAGCTACTTAGTGAGGTCAGCAAATATCAAAATGATTATTGTAAAGTAAAATTCCATATGTAGCTCCCTGCTGATTATATCCACTTATGTTACTGATGATCTTATTTTATTTGTTAAGACATAAGAGGTTTTTAGTTGAATTTCTTGGGGGTGATATTGGTTAATAAAATTATATAGGTTTCAGGTATACAATTCCACAATACATCCTCTGTATATTGTGTTGTGTGTTTACCACTACAAGCCAAGTCTCCTTCCATCACCATTTTCCCCCCTTTTCCCCTCTTCTACCCCCCATCCCCTTTTAAGTGTCAGGGACAGACTGCTTCCAGCAGGCTGAAAGCCAGGAAGATATCCACGTGACTGACTTGTGAGTTACACATGAATCAAGCCAGCCCTTCAACACTGCAGAGATGTTAGAAAAATAAATAAGAAAGCCAGTTTTTTAAACAAACCGTCTGAAAAGGAGAGACAGATTGTTAGTTTCAAAGGGACTTAAAAATATTCTAATTAAGTGCAATGGGGAGAACTTCATGAACCCTAATTTAAACAAATCCTATATAATAAAAGGTTAATATGCAAATTGTCCCCTCAGGAGTTCGGCCACTCGTTACGATGTGCACTGATCACCAGGGGGCGGTGAGGAACAAAGGAAGGCCCGGCAGGCAGCCAGAAGGCCCTGATTGGCCCTGATCACTGGCCTAGGGACCCTACCTATGCATGAATTTTGTGCACCAGGCCTCTAGTCAATTATAAACAGACATTTTTGAGACAACAGGGTGTGTGTGGGGGGGGTAAATGTAGTCTGAATATTAGATAATATTAAAGAATTATTGTGAATTTTGTTTATTACTATAATACTGTTATGTTTAAAAAATAATTACATATTTATGGATGACATATATCTTATATGGAAGTTTCTTTAAAATATCCCAGCAAAATCTTTTTATGTATGTGAGGACTGGCAGAGGTCCAAGAATGGCAACATGTTAAAAACTTGAGGCTGAGGGAGTGACTATACTACTAGTACTCATTAAATTATTCTCTTTACTTATATGTCTTATTGAAATGTCCCATAAATTTAAATTTAAAAAAGATTAATAAGTAGAATAAGTAGAGTCGATTCCAGAATGTTTTTATAAGTCGGACTCTGTGCTCTGTTTTGAAGAGGATAATACTAAAGATTCCTAGCATGAAAGGAAATAGATAACATTGGTTTGAGCAGAAAGGACATCAATATCAGTGTTATGCATATTTGAGTATGGAAATGGAAGGCTACCAAAGCAGCTGTGAAGTGAATCTAATAGAATTCAGAATGCAGTTGCTCATCTTCATTTTCTTGAAGAGGAATGAAACTCCCTTATTATTCAGGATGCATAAAAAGGAGAACTGTTGTTGGTCTTTGGGATGAT